TATTATTTTGTTTAATAATTACATCATATTTTCCATATAATTGGTCAATCATTTTTATAAAGTAGCTACTTGCATTATATTTACTCAATTTCTTTTGTAGCAACTTAATGCTAATTGTGTCAAATGCTTTTTTAAGTCCAAAAACATCGCAAATACCTTCTGTCTTTTCTTCAGTAATTGTAACTGAATTGCTGTTAACAAAATGAAAAGAGCCATTTGTGTTTCGCCGTTTTCTATAAAAGCATATTGCGTAGGATTCTTATATTTATTTGTCTCTATCCAATTTTTAAATTTCTCCGCAAGTGTAGCTGTAAATATTTTCCTAAAACTTGACAGTAGTGCAATTGTCGTATAGTTTGCTGGTTCATTTCTACTACCATGTTTAAAAATCATAGTAAATATTACCTCATTCCAATTTGTAGGTATTATACTGGAGAAATATATTTTATTAAAAAATCTGGTCAAATATTGAATTAGGTTGTAAGGCAATAATTTAATAAATGAATATGGAATTCCATCAGAGCTAAGAGCTGATTTATTTTTAGAATCGATAATCTTTTCTGAACTTCATTTATACTTATTATTTCTTCTTGACTAATTTGATGAGATGTTATCACCTCCATATTAATGTTTCTTTCATTGTATAAATACTCGTCAGAAAACTCTCTATAATATTCTACCCACTTATTATAGTTTATTCTATTTTTATTAGAACATTTGGACTTTTTCCTTCGAAAACTATTTAATATCTTCTAAAATACTCTTGTATCTTTAGATTCTATTAATTTCCTATTTATGTTCAAATATAATTTATTTTTGGCCTTGATTAAGTTCAAATAAATTTTCTTAGTTTTAACATAGTTTATCAGTTCTTCTGTTGTATTGCTCTTCCTGAAAGCTTTTAAGTTTTTTGTTTTTTAATTTTATAATAATAACATGAGTTATCAAACCACTCATTTTTATATCTATGCTTATTGGCGGAGTTACATTTCTTAAATTTGCATTCTTCTAGTTTTGATATCAATCTCTGATAATTAACTATAGGTTCTTTCTCGTTTTCTAACGATATCAAATTTGCTGTCATATCCTCTGCCTCCCTTAACCATTTCTGTTTGTTGTAGTTTGAGGTAAATTTACTATTAAATATTACTGACTGATCATCTCTATTATTTTCCTTTTCATTTCTCCATCCATTATTAACTTAAGTTGTACTGGAAAATGATCAGATGAGTCCTCATCCAGTACTGTCAAAGATTGGCAGTATTCAATTAAGGTCTCAGAGCATATAACATAGTCTACAATTGATTTTCCTGTATGCGATATATAAGTAAATTCTGCGGGACCATCTCCTTCTATTCTTCCATTTAGGACTACCAATTAAATGAATAAATTCTAATAGAGCTTTACCTTCACTATTTAAAATTTTATCTTTAGATTGTCTTTTATTATTCATATTTTTATAATTTTGAAAAATCTTTGTCTCCGACATCTCTCCTATACAAGAGTTAAAATCTTCGATCAACCACAGATGAGTAAAAAAAAATCCCATTTATTTAGATAATATTGAATTTCATTTAATATTGGTTTCTTTTCCACTGTTTGGCTGTAGATATGTTACTATTATTCCTAAATAATGTTTGTTCCATGCATTTTTTAGTTTGTCTTTTAATTCTATTATTGCTAGTAAAAAGTTCTTGCTTATAGTTTGATATAAAATATCTCTAAGACTTTTCTTGATTAAAAGTAACATGCCTCCCGAAGGACGGCCGAATTTACTTGTGCAGTATGCATTACTCATTAAGTTAATATATTATTTTCTTGTTCTAAATAAGTTTTTTTTTGACAAATTCAAAGTTGTTAACCACCTTTCAGTTATTCCTGTAATTTCATTCGAATCTATAAGTTTTTTCATTGACATTGTCTGAATTTTTCCTTTGATTCCTTGGCAGTTCCAAAAACTGAATAATACATTATTATGTATTTTCTTTGATCTTAATTTAATCTTTTTTATATTTTTTTTTCCGAAGTCAGTTTATTTCTGTTCACATTTTCTTCATCTGTTTCTATATGATTATATCCCTGATTATCATTTTGTATAATTATTGCTTTTATTACTTTGTCAGGATTTTTTGGGTTATTTGTCCTAAAAAATGGTTTACTAATATAAATTCATTAGTATCCATATCAATTGTATATATGTGATTATCTTTTATATAGTAATCATCTTTTATTCGTACTCTGATATTTTCTGCCATTTCTACCTTAATTTTATTAAGTAGTCGTTTTCTCCTGATTCTAGATCTAAGACATAAATCTGTTTTTATGACAATGTTCTTTTCCTCATTCTTCATTTTGGAACGGTTCATCCAAAATTTCTTAAGGATTAGATTCCTTTCTTTAACCAAAGTTGTTATCATTTTTATCATTTAATTCTTTAAATTATTTTTTTCCAAGTTGATTAAACCTTCTATTTCTATATTTTTTAAGCCTAAATTTACTTTTATAAATTGTTTTATTTCTTGCAGGTTATCAATCGTTTTAAATGGAAAATTTAGAATAATTAGATTTCTTTTAGTTTTATCATTTAATGTTCTATCTAGCTCAAACTCTAACATACCTTTTAAATTTACACAAGGTTTTACTTTTTTTTCACACTGTTGAATTTTTTTACCAATGATTTTCATTTCATCTTTAATTTTCGTGTTGTCTTCCTGAAGTCATCTAATATCATATTTGATTATCTGCATTTCCTGGTTTAAAGTCTCAAACTTCTCCTGAATTAGATCAGGAAAATTGATTTAAGTGAGTATTCCAGTTCATTTTCTCTTAACTGCTCAATCTGTTCCAATGTTTCAGAATAGTCCTTAATTTTAGAATTTCTCATACTCTTGGTATTTATACTCATCTCATCCTCTGAATTATATTTTTCACCAATTAAATCCACTAACTGGTTTGTGTCTTCCAAAGTCTGAACAAGTTCTTTTCCGGGTCTTCCACGCCCTCTTCTTTGCATATTTGTTTGACTTGATTTTAGTGGAGAACGTTGAAGCGGGCGAGGATTCGTTTCAATTCCGGCCATGATTAACAACAATAATATTAAATTAATTGTTAATAGGGTTGTTAAGCAACTATTAAAAACTAGATAATGGCTTTTAATCCAGGTGTAATCCATTGTGCATTGTTTGTCTCAGCTCTAACAAAAAAAGTCACCAACACTCACCACAACTAGAAGCGCCCCCTAAATGTAGAACTAAGAAAAATTAATGAATTACACAAGCTAATTCTTTGGTTCTAAATATGGAAATGTTTAATTTAAAAATGTAATCCACTCATTTACAAATTCTGAGGAACTATATTTTGTACTGCACTAGGAAATAACCTTGTTCTTAAAGTATTTGTGAAACATATCTCATCAAAAAGATGACTGTGTAAACATTTTTCTTTCCTTTTGGAGTTTTTGATTTTTAGATTTTATGGATCTTTAGTTTTTATCATGTAAATAACATAAGCAATGTTTCTTTGTTTAGTCATTATTTAAATCAGTATACTAATCTTGAGATACTAAATTATTGAAATAACTCTTACTGAATATGAAATGCTTATCTTTCGTAACTATTATTACTTTTATCTTTATTATTATTAATTCTTAAAAATATCTAAATATAACAAATTTAGAAAATTTGGAATTTAATTTTTTTTTATTGAAAAATATTATAAAATGAAGGGAGTTTATTACACTACATACATATTTTTGTAAATCTAGAAAAGTGCTGTCCTATATATTTGTTCTAAAAATTGATATAAACTAATAATTATGTAAATTAATAATATTTTGTAATGTAGTTACACGAACATGGTGCTTATTTGGTGGACAGTTTGATAGAGAGTAATCCTATGATGAAAGATTGGGAATGTATGACAGATCTTCTTTTAGAAGAACCAGGATCTCAAGAAGAACCTCTTGATGATAGGCAAGAAACATCACTCATTGAAATAATGGTCTGCTGTGTCAAACAGGCTGCTACAGGAGAACCACCAGTTGGACGGGGTCCAAATCGTAAAGTATGTTTTAAACTTGGAACATGAAATGAATATTGACATTTTGGTAATACATAAAAATAAATTTAAACAAAATATAAATTACAAGAAAAATATTTTTTCAGCAATTATCAGCTAAAGAACTGAAACAAGTTGGAGATGATCGTGTTAAATTGACTGAACATTTCATTCTTACTCTCCCTCAGTTGCTAGCTAAATATATGGCAGATCAAGAGAAGATTGCTAATTTGATGGTTATTCCACAATATTTTGATCTTGAAATATATACCACAAGTCGTCAGGAAAAGGTACTTTATTTTCAATATTATTATATTACTGTATGAACCAAATATCATTTGATGTTTTCTCCAGTTTTAGAGTCAGAAATTGCTCTAGACCTATATTTGGCCTTGACTTGTACTCATTTAACTCTGTACGTCATGTTCAGAGTTAAACTGATGCTAAAATTTGGTGTGTTGATTATTTAGTGATTGGCCTTTATATTGCAGCCTACAAACTGTGCTGGAATCAAGTGTTTGGCTTGATTGCAAACAATTGATTAAACTAAGCTGTTTTAATTGTATTTAACATAACCAGTCAGTTTTGATAACTTCTATAGAAATTTTATTTTGATAACTTAAATTTAACTTTATTTTACTCCTGGAGTCTCTACTAAACAAGCAATTGTCAAAAATTGAGAAGGAAGGTTGCTTAAAACTTAACTTGAAATTTCTTATGTTGTAAAGTGTAAATTTATATTGTAATTATAAATTTATGTATTTGATATGATTGTATGTTTTGGACTTTATAAAAAGTGTTTGGACAGTTGTTAAAAATATAAATAAAAGTGAAACACAAAGTTTTTTTTTTTTTTTTTTGGATAAACATGAAATATGAAGGAAGACTATTTCCTTGACATGATGTAGATGCTGGACAGTTTACTACCTAATACATAGGACATTGTCTCAATTTTTCTGTAACTTATATTAATTTCATTTTTATGGTTATCAACAAAGCAGCAAGTTACAATTTGTCAGTTATAAGAGTATCTAATGGATATATTTCTATAAATCCAAACCTTTAAGTACTATTTTCTGATAAACTATGCATGATGTAAATGTGATTTGTAAAAATTACTAAGAAAGCAATCAAATGTTTTTCATTTATGCTGATGGATTCCCAGATATTCATAAATACCAATTCAAAAAATTTTTATTTCTAACTAAAGTAATTTTGAAAAGGAAGAAATGTAATGAATGAACTAATTTTCATAAACAGTTATAGATAAGAATCAATAAAAATTCCACATATTCTAGTAAAAGTTAACAGTAGTAGAATTATGAAAGAATGTTGGTGAAGACATAGTTATAAATAGCTTTAAGATGTTACCAATGAGTAAGACAGAATGGATGATGGTGTATTGAGAAGGCTGAAAACCATAACGGCCATGAAATAGGAAATGGGAATGATTGATAATGAAAATTCTGATAAAGATGAAAGTGATGGAGTATTGTTTCAATGACTTTCCAAATTTTTTAAAATGCAAATTGCTAAATTTTTGCATGTGAATAAAATTAATAATAAAAGGTCAATGTATATTCAGTCCTAATTTTTTCAAAAAGTAAAGATTCCAAAATTGTGAGTCAACTTATATTTGGACCAATATGGTGATTTGTAGAACATTTGAATATATTTAACACATTAACTGCCTGTTGTAATATGATATTTTGCATCAGGGGGCCAAAAAATGAAAATTTGATATCTAATAATTGATTATAACATAAATAAAAGGGTCACTGATAAGAAAAGTATATATAAACAAAGACCGGGGAGTCGTATGACCTTGAACGTGAGGCTGCTTTCTCCCAGGCAATAAATTTTATAACCCCACTGTAACTAGACATCCTTCCCTACTTAAAAGTATTTACATCTGTGTGTTAAAGTATTTCACACTTTGTTTCCACTGCAAATGATGTTTTTTTTCTGTAAATATGTATTAAAACGCACTTATATACTTTGATTTTTTTTGTAATATTATTTACTTTATATGCGGTAAAAAAGAATAATTAAACTAATTTTCGATATTTTAAATTATTTACTATTAAAATAAATCACTATCAGATAAAAAATAAATTTTTATTAAAAAAAACTACGACCACCGACCTTGTATCGCATCATGACGCCACATGACGCGTTGGCGGTCATAGCTAGGACCGATTTGCCATACGACTGCCAGTGTTTGAAGCCAACTGAATAGATCTCCATGAGAGGCCAGCACTAAGCATGCAGAAAACGTCGTACAAGGCCAGGAAAATTTAACCTTGAGTAAAACTACATTGTTTACGACTACGGGCTGTTGTATGGCACTGTACGGGCATTTCCATTACAACGGCGCGCGCATCGTATGGCAGACAACCTGTTAAGGCATTAATTTTTTGCAAACAGAATTGAAATTATAAATTTTATGATGTAGATTAGAGATGGCCAGCTGGATGGTATATGAGCCAGATCTGAGCTGTTGCATAGTCTTAGTGCAGTGACATGCCATTAATTATATAGTTTTTTTAATATGACTATGAGATATTGTAATGGCTGTTTGCATGGGTGGATTCTTGCAAATAGCCATTACAATATCTTATAATTGCAATCAATTGAAGGTTGGTAAGGAGAAATATGTACATATAAGGATACATAAATTCATGAGTTAAAGTGAAGTACAAGATAGTGTGGCATAATTTATTCTGACAATAAACAAGATTTCAGCATGTGTATACATCTAGTAGTCTTCATATAGTGGACTTAATGCTGAGAAATTTGATTGTGGTGGCAAGTTTGTACACTGTTGTCATGATATACAGTCGACCCCTCTATAACACTGTTGATAATTCCATTTTATATGAATTCCATGTTGTACGAGTCACTTAGATTTTACAAATACAAGTGACTCGTACAACATGGAATTCGTGTAAAACGGAATTATCAACAATGTTATAGGGGGGTCGACTGTATAATACTTCATATTATACATATCCAATATCTATGCCTAAGATACTAGAAATTTATAATATAATGTAGCAATTTCACTTTGATTTGTAATAGTTTGTAGTGTTAATCCAGAAATGTAAATTCAAATGCCTTGTAAAAAATTTTGAGATCTTATAATGTTTCTGTTAAATATTTCACATACTAATGTTTTAAAATTATTTATGTATATGGTAACATAAATACAATGGAACATTATATTTATACATTTTACATTTATAAATCATTTTATATTAGTCCCAAGATATTTCCATTCCTTTTAGTGATAATAGTTTGTTTATATGTCTAAATTCATTATTTATATTATTTACTTATATATTGTTTCCTTTCAGTAATATGACTATTTTAATTTAAGATCCAAAGTTTCTTTGATCTGATGATGGGATAGAAGAGTCCCAAAAAATGTTTAACCAAATAAAAAGTTTTGTTTCCTATAATATTCTTAGTGTTTGTGTATCTCCTGATATTACATTGAACTGACATACTCTGAAACCTAAATCTTGACTAAATCTCTAAATCTAAATCTTAAATTTTAATTACACATTTTTTAATTTGGTTCTCTGGAAGATGTAGAAATGGCGCTTCACTATATTAAATTTTGAATATGAAAAGTAATAATTTCAGAGTTTGTCTTTTTTTTTATCCTCATTTCTAAGATAATTACTTAGGTTGATTACACAGACACAGTGCAGTGACAATTTTCAAACACTAGGCAAATTGTGTCTGTGTAAGCAACAAAATATAAAACGTGGTTTCATTGGAATAAAAAAAAATAATAATTACTTAGGATTTAAAAAAAGCAGTTTAATTTTAAATTATTCTAATTATATGATTTAAAAATATAGTAACTTTTGCATTGCTATTCTAATATTCTTACTCCATATTTGTTAAAGGTTTTATACTTCTGATAACATACATTAAATTCTGACTTTGGCCACTGCTGATGTAGATAATCAAAGCTTAATTCATAAAATACTGAGTGCTATTTCAAGCTTTAAACTATTGTATATGGTCTATTAAATCCAGAATATATAGTTATTTTTTCAGTTTTTATTTAAAAAATAAATTTTATAATACTAGAATATTTAATTTTTGATATTTAAATAGAAACCACTAAAAATAACATTTGTTATAAAAATATTTTATCAAAATGATCTTTTCTGTAGGTTTTTTACACTGAAAGATGCTTTTTTCTTTAGAATCAAGTATTAATTAGAATAAACATTTTTAGATATAATAAATTAAAGATTTAAATGTTGTTTGGATAGCTGGGCTGCACTGATTAGTTATCAAAAGTAAATAAGCAAAAATTATTGTGACATTGTCACAATGCTGGGCTGCAATTTTTAATCATATTTTTAATTAATTTAATTTGAAATGTGTGTTCTGGATCTCAAATTATTAGTGTCTTGCCCTGTACATCATACTTTTCCTTACAAAAATGTTGTGTTGATCATTTATGTAACTTTGTTCTGGGGAAAATTTTTGAATTGAAATCACAGGACTTCTGGTTTATACTGGAAGCTCATATATAGTTAATTGGGACCTGCCCCTAATCTTTCCATATCTGGTGTTCACTTTCATCTATCTAACACTGTTCTTGAGATTAAGGAAGGACAGATGGATGATAGTGGGAATTTATAGGTCTACAATTTTTTCAAATTACAGCTCAAAAAGCCATTTGAATTTGGTTGATTTTTTATATATTCAGTAGAGCGTCGATTATCCAAATCAGTTGGGGACTGGGGTTATTCAGAAGATCGATGTTTCGGATAACCGATTATGTACGAAAAAATATATTAATTTATAGATATACAGTAGATCCCCCTATAAGACGGTAGATACGTTCCGTTCTTTATGAATCAATTTTGTAGGAATCATAGTTTACGGACTACGGCTGTTTGAAAGGTTTTCTTTCATAAAATTAATCGATTCTAGACTAATTCGACTCAACATTTCCAAAATACGTATATTTTTTTG